ATTAATGTTGACCGTAAATAAGTCAGTAATCTGTGAAAAATTGCACACAATTGTTTGGTATGGTCCGCTCTTTCATATCTATTTTAAAACCTAATTCGTTTCTCTGTCTCCAACAAATGGGTTCCGAAAACTTTCCAGATACTTAACTGTTTCTACAGACAGAATACGTTAAAGGGAATTTATAAGCTTGTCCGGTTATTGAATTTGTTTGTGAAGATTACTCTAACTACACAGGAATGGCTCTGCTGTCACGAAAGTCTCAAACGAAACCTTAAATGAAGTTAAGTCGCGAACTCATTCTACGGCATCCACGTTTATGCTGATGATTAAAAGGATGTCGTTGCTGATGATGTTGCTGCTGTTGGTGAAGATTAAATGGTCTAGTAGTGTAGTCTAGTTGCCGAATATTTTGGTATGCTCTGCGAACTAAAACCATCAAATGCTGAACCGCAAATAACGAGAGATCTGTTATATTAGAGAATCTTGAGGAGAAAAAAATTCCCCCAATGCGAGAAAAGCATATTGCGATTCGTCAAGCGTACCATTAAACCAATCAGAATTTTATTCTCCGACATCGTCTATCAAACCGTATTACCTCATGTTTGGAACCGCTGTCGAGGTTTTGTTTTACATACTTTGTCTCCTCTTATTTCTTAGTGTTTTCCGATGATGGTCCACATTATAAGAACTGCTTCTCATAGATTGAATTTACCCTTATCTCGTTGGCTAAGCGGACTTATTTAATAACTCAACTAGTTTACGAACGGTCAAAGTATTGAACGGCATTACCCACTGGATATTGGCTGGCGTTCAGAATATAACTTTAATGGGAACGTTGGTTCAACGACAATATATATTGCATTGTATTATTCAAAGCTGAGTATTCATATATTTTATCGTATGCGCATGCGAGCTTACGCAAGTCAGTTCAGGGCGCCTGAGTACCTAATCATCAGTAGTGTTGAGATTAGGCCGTCAGACCCACAAGGGAATTGTGTTGAAAACTTCCTACGCAATAAAAGATGGTACCAAGGGGTCACATGGCCATAAGTTACATTCTTTCTAACACGAATGTGCCAAAAAAGGAATTGTGCGACTGCTATTGACTTTAATTAAGGACACTGCCTATGGTCGCAAATTAAATTAAGAAACGGACTTACCTCCCATTCTACCACCGAATTCGTCTCTGTGCTGTGTGCAGTACTCAGGGGCGTACCTACGTATACCGGCGGAAGAGACTCAAAGTGGGTAACGATATATCTTTTTTAAAAAATATTTTTTATGTTTCATCCGCTTATACCCGAGTGTCAGTACTGTCAGGGAAGTCAAGTTGAGCCTAGATTTCGCATCCAATTTTATCTACTCGAATCAGTGGAAGAAGATAAACACGCAGTAGAACAGTGAAGTTTCGGGGCGTGTGTTGACTGCTGTGTATCTACATTTCGGTCGGTATTTCGTGCGAATTGCCGAAATTTGTGAAAGATCGATAATCACTCGAAAACCGGTATTAAGTAGCGTTGTGATACTGATTATCGTTCAGTTTAATCTCAAGTTCCTTCATTTACGTCAGAATGTCCGCTTTTAATGTGCTTCTGTCTGACCGTTTAGGTATATCCGGCAAAGAAGTGGCTGCTTAATTAATATGCATTTAACTCATTAATTTTCACTGCCCTTTTAAATTCAAGTATATCTTGTCAAAAACATACACACAAATATTCACTGTGTACTCCTTTGCTCTCAAGTTACGCCTTTTTATAATTTTATACCCAAGATAGGATAGCTTCTTATTTAAAAACAGTTTCATAATCGAGAAGTCAAGTTTGGCAAACATATGCTTGCAGCAAATCTCCGCCAGGCCAAAAAAATTGCAGGGGTAATGAAAACTGTACATTTGGGCAGAGTTTATAGGGGTAGTACGATTACAATTAATCGTCTGCACGTCACCCGCATGGCGAGGTTGGCGTGTAGAGGTTCTTGTGTTGGGGGAGGCGGGGGCAACTGGGTTACGTTGCGAGCGTTTATCGGAGGTCAGATGCATTGAGTGATATTTACTGCTATTTGCACGAAGCGAGCGATTCTCACTGGAGGGTGGGGGCGAAATGCGATCGCAATCCCTCATCCGGGTCGGCCACGCAAGTGCACGGCTGGTGTCAGCGTCTTCTCACAACATAGCACTGTATTTGCTAGCCGTATAGCCACAGCTTCAGCTAATGCAAGCACCCGTCGCCGCAGGCTCTTGGAAAAATTAGCTGGTGTCCGGTAGATAATCTGAAAGGCTTCGTTAGTATCGACTCGAATATTCGTAGCCAAAAAATGTGCGAGAATAGAACTAGAGGTCGATCTAGTTTCACCTTTATTTAAACAGGCCGGTGTGTGCTCACGTACCCTCTTTTCCAGGCGCCTCGTTGTTCGGCCAATGTATCCTGCTCCACAGGAGCAAGTGAAAGAGTACGTGCACATGGATGTGGCCTTCAACGGGAGTTGGCCTTTACCTCCCAATCGTAGGAGGGGAGATTTCGTGAAGAACACCCGTTAGTGCGCCACGGGGAAAGCGCTTGCGATTGCGGCCCTCGGACGTCGTCTGACCAGCTCGCTTGTTGCATCGCCTGAAAAAGGCAGTCTTATGAATACGTTTCATATTTGCAGAATAATTTTGAACCATACTGATAGTTATGCTTTAATTCAGGGTTTTCAAACGACATGCTGGGAAAATCCTGTATAAGGAAGAGTTCGTTTTTTCCCTACGGCGTGCGGAAGAAGTCGCATTGTTCTCATAACGTTTTGTGATAGATTTGAATCATCCTCTATACCTTCTAGGCAAAATTAATAAATAAAGACGTATGACATATAATGAATGAATACTTCACAATCGTAAAACATGTCATGCTTAGAAATGTTTGTAGAACCAAAATATACCATTCCTTTCAGTATTAAAGTGGAAGAAAGCGCAATTAATCAGCAAACAAGCAAGCAAAAATAGTTTCGCGTATGTTTTGAACAAAATATATATTCGCATTTATAGGGACAATGAGAATCAATGGGTCAAACATACGCTACATAAGTAGATATTTTTTACAGAATACAGACTTTTACTCGTTCAGCAAGAAAAACGCTGCAAAGCCGGCATTCTTACGTGACTGAAAGAACTTCAGATTAGGCTGCGCGATCATCAGTATTTTAATCCTACTTATAGCCCGTTTGCTAGCGGTTATAGATGTTTGGCAAATTTCGGCATTTTGAATGAAATACCGATCGTACTGTATAAACGAAACATATGCAGGTCTTTTCATCCTAATTCCAACAGCAATCAAAACAATTTCCCACCTGGAGATTTGAGGAAGTAAAGACAAGCACACGTGCCAAATCTATCCAGTTTTTATTCTCTACTGTCAGTTAGTCACTTCCGTTGGGAATTCCCCAAATACCAGAAGTCGTGCCCATCCTCCGTCGCTGAATTCTTCCGCTGTATGCCTCTAATCTGTCTTCCAATTTCGATACTCTAAAATCCAATGAGACAGAAGAAATGACGGACCCGGTTGTTCAAGACGCCGCTCCAGGCATTTAGAGTGCCTGCAGGGAGGGTATTGGGGAAGTATTCGGACGGTGCTAACTTCGTCAAGGCTGTTGATGAAGTCAGGAATCAGTGCCTTGTCATGATCAATGGGCTTTTCAACTGGATAAACAATTTCAGTTGATCTTCTTAAATACGACATACGAAGGTGCTGATATGTATGACACACTTTACTGTGGCTTTACCTTGCATCTTTCTCGCACAGAAGATGCAAAATCTAAACTAACAAGGAAAAAGTTGGCAGCAGATCTGTCTCTGCTTGTACTGCATGTACTGAATTATTTTGGACAATTTATATAGGGATCACGATGTGAACTTCCTCCCTTTTTTGGCTCTTAGATTTATAAATCACGTTTTCTGTACTTTTAATGTTC